ATTACACGCCTCACGTCCTCTTGATGTAAGTTTCAAAAGCGTTACTCTCCGGGATCCACCCCCTCCCCCCTCTAGAAAGTATTAAAAAAAAAGGAAAAAAGGAAGAAGAGAAGAAGAGACGCCGTCTTCACTAATCCTCATGATAGTAGTCGAGGAAAGTAGTGTAGTCGGAAGCAGCGAGTATGACTGTTGACAGATGACAAAGGAGAGCTCGAGGGACACAACGAGCACCGAGGAGCCTCTTTCGAAGCCGTCTTAGGGCAGGCCTCCTGGAATGCAGCCAGAAGGAGCCTCTGGAAGGACACCAGCCTAGCGTAACTGGAAGCGCTCGAGGAAGATAACTAGAAGTACACACAAACGCTAATGATCTCTGGAATGAAACACAGCCACGATATAAACGGAACAGGTTTTCATTAGGTTTAGCCTGTGGTAACTTTTCTTTCCTTTATAACTAGAAGTATCTTGAAGGCACACACTGAGGATGCACCAAGCTCTAGAAGTCAGTGTCTAGCTAGAGGCACTCGCAATAGGAACGTCCTTGGAAGAGAAGCTACTAAAGATTGCATGGACGGCATCTGGAATCACTTTCTTGAGAGTGTCTTCGAAACGACTTTCAAGGAAGGTCTGGGTGTAAGACGTTAAGTGATTCACAGCGAAGTTGATACAGTTCTGGTCGACGAAGACCTCCTCTGCCTGAAGAAATATAAAGTTGTGGTATAATGGGTGTGAAAAATGAGGAAATGTTCTTCTAATGGACATTTCGATCACCGTTATAGAGCGACAATAAAACAGGAGCCAGTCTATTTTCGCTCTTGCGATCGCTATGCCTAAAGCTTAGTTTCCATCTTCGTAATATCATCTAAAAGGCTATTGTTCACGGTCACACCATCCTCGCCATTACGGACCCTCGTCTTAAAGGTCAATTTTCATTTACGGGGGAGGGAAGAAGTCACTAAATTACCAGTATTAAAGTCAAACTCAGGTCTCCTCTATTACCAGATTAGAAAAAACGCTGAGGGGTTAATTTTAGTGCCCCCTCCCTCGCCAGGACCCCCTCACGTTTTCTTCCTCGCCATCTTTGTCCATCGACCAAGTTCTCTTTGACTTCCCTCTCTCTCTCTCTCTCTCTTTTTTTTTGTATTTTCCAGTTTCTTTTCATCTACTTGTAGTTCCTCCATTTTGCATTTTCGATTTTCTTATTTTTCCCCCTTCCATTCACTCGCAATCAAAGTTTTTTTCTTGCATTTTTTTATGGCGAATTCAGTTTTATATTTCACTGAGCTCTGTCTCCCTATGATCAATTATCAATATTTTCCATGAGAGCGACCGTGAAGACTTTTCCCTTCTCACCCTCTTCCAATCTTAGCAAAGTTAACTTTTCTATAAACTAATTACCAAACTAATAAACTTCACAGCTGTTTAATTACCTTTTCCGTTTTTTTTATATGCTATTTTGCACGTTGACTACTATAATGAAAAAAAAATCAATATATTTTTTCGCTCGCTATATTTCCAAGCTCTTTGGCTTCTGGAGACAATATTACTAATTTCTTGGATGAAGAGGAAGAAAAAAGGAGGGGGAAGGGGGGGGGGCAGTAGGAGGAAGAGCATCAAGGAAAGGAGAAGTAAATTTAGCGATGGTGGCGATGGTGATAATAGTGGGAAGAAGAGAATGAGGCAGATGCTGATGAAAATGACGAGGGCCATAATATGACTCGTAGTATGGATGATGAAAATGACAATAATAATATATAATGATGATGATGATAATAATGATGATGATAGTAATAATAATAATAATCACCACCCTCACCCTCATCAACATCACCACCACCCTCATCACTATCACTATCACCACCACGCTCATCACCATCACTATCACCCTCATCACCACCACCAACACTCAAGAACATCTTTATCTGGACGTCAATGCATGCCGCCTTTGTACCAACTCAGCGATTACTGAGTCACGTGGGGGTCGGGGGCGAGGGGGGGGGGGGGCAGAGGAGTGGTTAGAAGGAAAAGGGGAAATGAGAAGGGAGAGATGGTGAGAGGCGAGAGGGAGAGGAGGAAGAGAGGGACGAGAGGGGAAAATGGATAAGATTGGAAGAGAGAGGGGAAAACGAAGGGGGGATGGGAGAGACGAGATTGAGAGAATGAAAAAGCGATGAGGGAGAAGAGGAGGAAGAGGAGATACGATGAGGAGAAAAGGAAAAAGAAAAGGTGAAAGAAAGAGAAAACAGGGAGAGAGAAAGGGGAAGAAACACAAAGCAAGGGCAGAAAGAATGGAAAGGGAACGGGAGAGGTGATAAAGATAGAGAGAAGAAAATGGACAAAAGTGAAATGGGGGGAGATAAAGAGGGCAAAGAAAGACGGGTGAGATAGAGGGGAGAAAAGAGGGGGATAACAGGGAGAGACAAGGGAGAAAAGAGATGGGAGGGCGAAAGGATAGTTGAGAAAAGGGAGAAAAAAGATGGGGGGAGGGGGGCAGAAGAGGGAGATAGTTGAGAAGAAAAAGAACTTATTAGCACCTTTTTCTTCCCCATTTCCCCTTCTTCTAACTCTATTTCCGCCCATCTTTCTTTATGGTTCTCTGAGGATATGAAAGCTCTTGTGTATCTCGTTCTTGTGTGCGTGTGTCTAGTATATAAGGTATTTACATGATTTTATATTTATTGGTTTATGCCTTGATACATATATATAATCTGTAGTATGTGTTTATGTCTTTGTTTATGCAATCGGTTCTGTTCCTTAGATACCTTTCTCTTTCTTCTCTCTCTCAATTCCTCTCCTTCCCTTCCCCTCACTCTCTTTTCTTTCCTCCCTCACTCATCTCTTCCATTTTGCTTTCTCTCCCTCTTTCCCTTCTCTCTCTCTCTCTCTCTTTCTCTCTCACCCTCTCTTACTCTCTCTCTCTCTCTCTCTCTAATTCGGTTGAATTCTAATATATATTTTCCATTCCCTTTAACATCCACCAGTTCCTTGCTTCCCCTCTGCTCACTTCTTTTCTTCGGCCTCTCCCCTCTTCTACCGTCTTGGCATATTTTCCCATTCTTATCTGCTGCATTTCGGTCTTCCCCTGTTCGTTTTTCTTTTCAATTTCTCGTACGATGGGATATCATAAACTTTGACTGGAAACTCTGATCCCTCTCTCTCGCCTCCCCCCCCCCCCCCCCTTCTCTCTCTTACTCGTTCTCGCTCTCCCTCTCTCTCTGTTTGTCTCGCTTTCACTCTGGTTGTCTGTCATGGTTTTGTCTCTGTTTCCATTCATTCTCTCACTCTCTCTAGTTTTGTTTACGTGTGACGTTTTCTCCCCATCTTCACCTCTTTATCCCCAATCAATCCCACCCTCTCTATTCTTTTTCCCGTCCTCTATCTCATTTTCCTCCCCTTTCCCCTTCTCTCATCTGCTATTCTCTCTCTTCCAGAGCCTATCCTCCCCTCCCCCTCCCTCCCACTACTCCCTCTTCCCCCTACTCCTCCCCTCCACACACACGCACACACACCCCGACTTATCAGTGGCTTCTGCCTGACTGGCCACGTGGGGAATATGTACGCCTTATCTCCATATGAGGGATGCCATTTGCTATTTAACCGCGGTGTTTTATGCCTGTATTTCCATTTCCGTTTACGATTCATTTGCATACTCGCTGGATGTCCAAAGGAGAGAAAGAAAGTCTGAATCGATGTGATGGATTGGTGCTAAGTCGCGTAGATTATTAGGGAGCTCAAAGGCGTATAAAAAAGGGAGAAATATGTGGGGAGGGAAATGATTGTTGGCAACGCAGCGGCTCCGCGTCATAATAAACTGTGAATGGAAAGCAAAGGGGGATCGAGTTTACTTCCTTAATACTCTCCTTTGTCATTCTCGGGCCGCTCCTGAATTGCCAGCTTTATGGCATGCTAGTCCCGGGGAAGTGACCAATGGCAACCTGGATTTTGAAACGGTTACCTCTATTACATCGATTCTCATTGGTCGAAAGACGCCGGCCGCTACGGAACGTTATGAATGCAAGTCGGAGGTAACTTGTGCTATATTTCCTTCGCTAAAGGCATAAATACCACCATAAGGTTAACTCAGGGGGCGGATTCGCAAAATTTTTCAGTCGCCGGGGGATAAAATTTTCCCCAGAGGACAGAAAGCAATCGTTTGTAGGAAAGCTAGAAGGATGTGTTTGGCGAAGATGGCAGATGAATGGCGGGAAAATTTTGGTCGGATAAATATGGCTTTCAGTAGTGAGGATATATATATATATATATATTTTTTTTTTTCTTTTTTTTTAGGGGGGAAGCGTTTGTGTCATCTGATTTACGATGTTTATGAAACTGGATAATGGAATTTTAACAGAGAAAAAATAAATATATCTGTAGGAAAGTATCAGATAGGGTATCTCTTCGCTATTGAGTATATTTACGTTCTGTTCATCATGGGTACGTTTTGAATCAAATATACACATAACTAAAAATAAGTAAATAAGAAATAAATCACAAGGTGACTTCTTGCATACATATAAAATATATTCTTCACATATGCAAAAGAGGACACATTTTTTTGCAACAGAGAATACTTAGGAAATTCCACTTCATATTAAGACATATTAATAGTGACATCTATACATCTAAAGTATCAACATCTATATAGTGTGGTGAATTATCATTATTATTGTGATTATTACTTTCTTATTATCATTATTATCATCATTATTGATATTATTGATGATATTGTTATTTTTATCATTATTATCATTTTGTTATTATCATTATCTATTATGATTATTATTAGTAGTAGAAGTAATGATGATAATAGTATCATCATCATTATCAGTATACTCATAATTATTGTTGCTGTTATTATGATTATCATCATTATAATTCTCCTCCTCCTCCGCCTCCTCCTCCTCCTCCTCATCATCATCATCATCACCATCATTATCACCACCACCACCACCAACAACAACAACAACAACAACAATCCTAACACTGTCATAACACCCCCCCAGGCGACGGCGGGGAACTGAGCGAGGACAGCAACGCAGGAAGTAGTGAGAACAGCAACAGCGAAGACCAAGCAAGACTGCATCTCAAGAGGAAGCTGCAGAGAAATAGAACTTCATTCACTAACGACCAGATCGACAGTTTGGAAAAAGGTAGGAGGGAGAGAGTATGTTTTGGGAGAGTATATTGTGGGAGAGAGAGTGTCTTGTGGGAGAGAGTATGTTGTGGGAGAGAGAGTATATTGTGGGAGAGAGAGTTTCTTGTGGGAGAGAGTATATTGTGGGAGAGAGAGTTTCTTGTGGGAGAGAGTATATTGTGGGAGAGAGAGTTTCTTGTGGGAGAGAGTATGTTGTGGGAGAGAGAGTATATTGTGGGAGAGAGTATGTTGTGGGAGAGAGAGTATATTGTGGGAGAGAGTATGTTGTGGGAGAGAGTATGTTGTGGGAGAGAGAGTATGTTGTGGGAGAGAGAGTATATTGTGGGAGAGAGAGTTTCTTGTGGGAGAGAGTATGATGTGGGAGAGAGAGTATATTGTGGGAGAGAGAGCATATTGTGGGAGAGAGAGTTTCTTGTGGGAGAGAGTATGTTGTGGGAGAGAGAGTATATTGTGGGAGAGAGAGTATATTGTGGGAGAGAGAGTTTCTTGTGGGAGAGAGTATGTTGTGGGAGAGAGAGTATGTTGTGGGAGAGAGAGTATATTGTGGGAGAGAGAGTTTCTTGTGGGAGAGAGAGTTTCTTGTGGGAGAGAGTATGTTGTGGGAGAGAGAGTTTCTTGTGGGAGATAGTATGTTGTGGGAGAGAGAGTATATTGTGGGAGAGAGAGTTTCTTGTGGGAGAGAGTATATTGTGGGAGAGAGAGTTTCTTGTGGGAGAGAGTATATTGTGGGAGAGAGAGTTTCTTGTGGGAGAGAGTATGTTGTGGGAGAGAGAGTATATTGTGGGAGAGAGAGTTTCTTGTGGGAGAGAGTATATTGTGGGAGAGAGAGTTTCTTGTGGGAGAGAGTATATTGTGGAAGAGAGAGTATATTGTGGGAGAGAGAGTATATTGTGGAAGAGAGAGTATATTGTGGGAGAGAGTATATTGTGGTAGAGAGAGTATATTGTGGGAGAGAGTATATTGTGGGAGAGAGTATGTTGTGGGAGAGAAAGTATGTTGTAGGAGAGAGAGTATGTTGTGGGAAAAAGAATTTGTTGTGGGAGAGAGAGTATGTTGTGGGAGAGAAAGTGTATTGTGGGAGAGAGAGAGTATGTTGTGGATGAGGGTATGTTGTGAGAGAGAGAGTCTGTTGTTGGGCAGGGTATGTTGTGGGAAAGAGAGTATGTCGTGGGAGGGAGAGTATGTCGTAAGCGTAGATGGGAAGGGTGTGTTTGTAAAAAAAAAAAAAAAAAAAAAAAAAAAGTGTTTTGAAGTCTTTGCCTGGTTACGTATATGGAAGTAGGTACGGGAACGAAATCCCTTGTGGGTGAGATGAAATGTGTGTGTATGTGTATATGAATATATATATATATATGTGTGTGTGTGTGTGTGTGTGTGTGTGTGTGTGTGTGTGTGTGTATGTATATATATATATATATATATATATATATATATATATATATATATATATATATATATATATATATATGAGTCACCGCCGTGGCACAAGTGTTAACGCGCCGAACCGCGGTTGATTAGGAAGGGCATTCAATCAGGCAAGGGTGACACTGCCATATAACCTCTCAATAATGAATTGAGAGAGGCCTATGTCCTGCAGTGGAATGAATGGCTGTTGAAAAAAAATGTGTATATATATATATATATGTGTGTGTGTGTGTGTGTGTGTGTGTGTGTGTGTATGTATGTATGTATGCATATATGTGTGTGTGTGTTAAATAGAGTGATAAAAGATATATACATATTGATATCTTCAAGATATTTGTTGCACATCAGAGATACCTTCACACCCACTCTCCTCCCCCTAACCTCCCCTCCTTCCTCTACCCCTTCACCTTCTCCCTCCTCCTTTGACATATTCCACCCCCCCCCCTCTTTTCCTCCCATTCCTCTTCAATCTCCTTCTTTTCCTTCTATTTCATCCATATCTGTTTTCCCCTTCTCCCCATCCTCTCACCTTTCTTCTCTCTTCCTCGACCCTTTTTCTATTCCATTCTATTTCTTTTGCTTTCCTTCTCCCTCATTTTCTCCCCACCTCCCATATGGACCCCCCGCCTTCCCCTCTCCCTTCTCTCTCTCCCTCTCCCTGCTCTTTCCTTCTCCCCTCTCTCTCTCTACCCTTCCCTCTTTCCCACCTACCTACCTCTCTCCTCACTCACTCCTTCCCCCACCATCCCACCTCCCCCCACACCCCAACACCCGTACCCGTTCCCCCAAGTACCCCCCCCCCCCCATCACTTTCCCTCACCATCCCACCGCCCTTCCCTCACTTCCTCCTCCATCCCCCCACACTCCCACACCCCTACAAGTTCCCCCAAGTAACACCCCCCCCCCTTTGCTCTTTTCTCCCCATCTCCCCCCATCCCCCACACCCCCACAATCCCCACCAGTTCCGCCAAGTAACCCCCCCCCCCTCCTTCTTTTCTCTCCCCCCCCCCTGTAGAGTTCGAGCGCACTCACTACCCGGATGTGTTTGCACGAGAGAGACTGGCGGCCAAGATTGGTCTTCCAGAAGCTAGGATACAGGTGAGGAAATTTTGCGTTTTTGGATACGTTTTTTTGAAGATTTTTTTGTTTTCTTTCTTTGTCTATTTTGGTTGTATTCTCTTTGTGTGTGTGTGTGTGTTTTCTTTATTTCTTTTTTCCTTTTTTTATCTTTTTTTATTTTTGAATTCTTGGGTTTTGATATGATTTTTTTTTTTTTTTTTTTTTTTTTTTACATCGTATTTGTGGAATAATGTTTTTATTTCGTTTTCTTCCTACGCTATTTTTCGTTTTCTATTCTAGTATACCACTTTTTTTACGCTTTTGTGTTTTCCTTTTGTAGAATTTTATTTCAAGCCAATTCCTCATTTTTATCTCGTTTTGTTATATTCCTATTTTTTTTCATATTTCTTTTTCGTCACTTGAATAGTTTATTGCTTTTTGGCTTGTTTATTACTTTTTTTTATTCATATTGTTACATTTTTATTTTGCTTCTTTACCGCTTTTATGCTTTTCTTTTTGTGATAGATTACGTTTGATGTTTTTTCAGGTTGGTTTTCCATAATATTTCGTTCATGTTTTTCATTTCGTTCTTATGATTATTATCATTATCATTATTATTATTATTATTATTATTATTATTATTATTATTATTATTATTATTATTATTATTATTATTATTATTATTATTATTATTATTATTATTATTATTATTATTATTATTATTATTATTATTATTATTATTATTATTATTATTATTATTATTATTATTATTATTATTATTATTATTATTATTATTATTATTATTATTATTATTATTATTATTATTATTATTATTATTATTATTATTATTATTATTATTATTATTATTATTATTATTATTATTATTATTATTATTATTATTATTATTATTATTATTATTATTATTATTATTATTATTATTATTATTATTATTATTATTATTATTATTATTATTATTATTATTATTATTATTATTATTATTATTATTATTATTATTATTATTATTATTATTATTATTATTATTATTATTATTATTATTATTATTATTATTATTATTATTATTATTATTATTATTATTATTATTATTATTATTATTATTATTATTATTATTATTATTATTATTATTATTATTATTATTGTTATTATATTATAATCATTATCATTATTATCATTATTAAAAGTCTCAGTAGTACTATTAGTAACAAGTAATAGTGATAATAATAGTATTATATTATTATAACGAAATTTATCAATATCAAGAATATTACTTTCATTTCGATCAGTTAGTTCACCAAAGTTATTGAATAGCATTTTAGGGTTTCAGTTATAGAAACAAAACTTTAGTATATTGTACATCACTTTAGTATATCGTCAATTAATTAAAAAATAAGAACAGAACGTTATTTTAGTCAATTGATTACAGAAATAGAACATTTTAGTCAACTGAACATCATTTTAGCCAAATGAACATCATTTTAGTCAGCTAAACATTTTAGTTAAAATAACAATTTAGTCACCATAACATTTTAGTTAGAATAACAATTTAGTCAACTGAACAATATTTTAGTCCAAATAACATTTTAGTCAACTGAACATCATTTGAGTCAACTAAACAACATTTTAGTCAACATAACATCATTTGAGTCAACTAAACAACATTTTAGTCAACATAACATCATTTGAGTCAACTGAACAACATTTTAGTCAACATAACATCATTTGAGTCAACTGAACAACATATTAGTCAACTCAATAGTTAAGTGATTGCAGAAATAGAAAACCCGATTTCCGCAGGTTTGGTTCAGCAATCGACGAGCAAAATGGCGGAGAGAAGAGAAGCTGCGGAACCAGAGACGAGCAGCCGAGGGAGTCGCGCCGTCCTCGCCCACCAGGATCGTCAACAACACCTTCACGCCCACGCCCATGTACACGCCCCTGCCTCCGCCGCCCATGTCCGTGGCTGACACGTATGGGTGAGTTTTGAATTTGAAGCTGTTGGGGTTTATATTTTTGTCTTACGCACACACACACACACACACACACACACACACACACACACACACACATCACACACACACACACACACACACACACACACACACACACACACACACACATCACACACACACATCACACACACACATCACACACACACACAAATACACACACACGCAAACACACACACACACACACACACACATCACACACACACACAAATACACACACACGCAAACACACACACACACATCACACACACACACACCACACACACACACACACACATCACACACACACACACACACATCACACACACACACACACACATCACACACACACACACCACAC